ACCTGACATTAGCACCCCTCTTCCCCCACCACTCCGCACAGTGAGCAGGAGGCTCCCAGGAGCAGCTCAAAGGCAGAGGGCAGGAGCAGCTCAAAGGCAGTGGGGGGAGGGACAGCTGAACTACCTGTCACTTGATAGCCTGCCAGGCAGCTACTGAGCCACTCTGGTTCCAAACCCCCACCAGCTAGCTCCAATAGGCTGCTCTTTCTGCAAGCAATGGACAAAGCAGGCGGCTGCCAAACAATGTTAAAAGGGAGCATTGCACAACTTTAAACAAGCATGTTCTCTAACTGATCAGCAACGAAACAATGTTAACCAGGACAACTTTAAGTGAGGAGTTGCTGAAGTGGGGGCGGGGGGGGGAGGGGGAAATGTTGTGACTAAAGCAGCCAGTACAGGGACCTTGTTCTTATGGTAGACACCTTCCAGCATCACAGATGGCTCTGTGGTATTAAGGCAGTAGGCTCCAACTTGGCAAAGGCCAACAGGCCCTGCACTCAAAGTACAGGTCTAACAAAGGGTATTAAATGACAAAAGATTATGCTGAAACAATGCTGACTTTGCTGTGTTTAAAGTAGCAATTTCATTCTAAAAATATTTTTCCAGTACAGATGTCTAGAGCCTTACAAAGAGCGTTAGGTATTATCCTCATTCTACATTTGGGGAAACTGAGGTAGAGGGTGACTTGCTTAAGGTGACAGAGGTCAATAACAGAACTGGGAACTGTAACTAGAGATCTCCTGACTCCCAGTCTCTGCTCAATCCACTAAGCCATGATACCTCCCAAACCCAAGTGATTTGTAGAGCACCTATTGTGATAGTAACTCTTGGGCAGAATTAGTAGCTAAATGGCCAAACAGAAACTACTTAAGTTGCAACATATTATGAATGTTAGTTTTTAGAGTAGCCTACAAGTGATGCTATACTGAGAACCAACAAGACAGAGCCACTTATTCTTTGAGCCTTTGAGTCTGCTTGAGACTTGCAACATGTTCAGAATGAAAATATGCTAGATCAAAGACAGACATCTCTACGATGTACAGGGATCAACATCAAAAAAGCCCATACTTCCCTTCTTATTTTACACCATCTCATTGAAGAATTTAAAAAAAAAAAAAAAAGGAAGATACTGAATGTGTTTTGCAGTATTACTCAAAGCACATAGATTATCCCACACAGTTTACACACTTGAGTTTCTTACACAATAGGTCAAACACATGCAGCAACAACTTCACAGCTGCTATTTCCAATCCTCTCTGCAACCCTTTTTCCAACCTCACTTAGATCCCCCAATATCATGTTTTCCATCTCTTAACTTATGACTTTTTTTTTGGAGGGGGGGGGGCGCGCTTTGGGCCTCATCTTTCAAGGGGCCAAGCACCCTTCTCAATTTGAATCTGTGAGCAACAACAGAAGTCCAAGAGGACCTTTCCAGATCAGGCCTTTCTGCATGCCCCAAACTCATCAGCTCTCGGCTAAGCCATAGCCAAGAGCTGATAACATAACATTTAAAATCACCAAACCATTCCCAAAAATACCACCATTTCCCCTGCAACCTCAGGAACTCTGGTATCTGATATCAGGGGGTAGCCGTGTTAGTCTGTATCTACAAAAACAACAAGGAGTCTGGTGGCACCTTATCTGTTAGTCTTTAAGGTGCCACCAGACTCCTTGTTGTTCTGGTATCTGACTTCACCTTAATTTATTTTACAAATGTGGGAGGCAAGTTTGCAAGTGACCTCCAAAATATGGTTAAATTCAAAATATTCTCCACCAAAATTCACATGCATGCCTTCATTCCTTAAATCCCTGCTTTAGTACATGCTTAATTTCTGCCAGGGCTGAGCCCCGGCACCTCTGGGCTTTGCAGTTCATAGCCCCAGCACCTCTGGGCTCGCTGTGTCAGTTATGAAACTAACAAACCTGCTTGAGCCCTGGCATCTCTTTCATTACAAAATTAACCACTGGCTTTAGTCTCTCCCAAAATCCAAGTTAAAGCTTCAATTTACCATCATCTCTCTTCATCAATACCTAGAAATGGACACGTCTAATTCTCCATAGCCAAATTGTCACTTGTTTTCCACTTTTGTCAGAATTCACTACCATAATCTCAGGGTGCGGGGGAGGGATAGCTCAGTGGTTTGAGCATTGGCCTGCTAAACCCAGGGTTGTGAGTTCAATCCTTAAGGGGGCCATTTAGGGATCGGGGCAAAAATCTGTCTGGGGATTGGTCCTGCTTTGAGCTGAGGGTTGGATTAGATGACCTCCTGAGGTCCCTTCCAACCCTGATATTCTATGATTAATCTCAGTATCACTAACAAAACCACCAGATCCTACTCCCTTGGACTCTTAGTGGTCATAAAACAAAGGAACTGACATATTGATTCAGATTATTCATCCACTAAACCTGATTTTCTGCCAGCAGCAGCAAATAACTGTTTTTGTTTGTTTGTTTGCTTTATCTGAAAAAAAACCTCCTAGAACATACATGGGCAATATGCATTATTGTTAACAGCTGGCCCTGGATGGGATTGAGGGGAGGAAAGAGAGAAGAGTGACTTCTCACCCCAGCTGTAATAAGATTATCCCCAAAAGCATGTGATTTTTGTTACCTCCTTGTTCCTATATGGCTCATTCTTCCCAGAGCATGCCTCTGCCATATCACATTATTTATATACTCTGGTCTCCATATTTTAATAAAATGCATAAACTAGAACAGCTGTTAATATATAAAATGTTTTTGAATGGTGAAATACCATACATAAAGGAAGCTGTATTGAAAAAAGTACACAATAAGTAAAAGTGCATAATTCTAATCACATCAGCTTTTGCGTAGCTATTAACTTTACTGCCATGTTCAAGCACACCATAGTATAATGCATTTCCAGTACTCCAGGAAATGGCTATGAACTTCTGATACATGGTGCTTCCCTGCACCAAACCCATATCATTGCTGTTTAGTGTGTGTAAATAGAAGCTTCCTTACATATTATTCTGTTCCAACTCATTCAATCAGCAAAGAACATTAAAATCTCTTCTGGTGTGAAAGGTGGTATCATTAACAAACCAAGCAGTCACCAAAAGCTGGTTACAAAAGGCAGAGTTTCTATTTACATCTTGATAAGCATTTATAATAGGGGAAAATGCAGAAAGAGACATGTTTTATCAGTGAAGAAGAGTGTTTGTAACATACAGAAGAATTTGTAAGATTACCCAAACATGACATTAATGGAAAATGTTGTCAGATCTTTGATGAATCATAGTCAGTCTCTCCAATATTTGCAATTCAACTAGAGAGGCTCATTTGACACTGAAACTTGAAATAACTGTCAGTCAAGGAGCAAACCTTTGACACCAAGTTTGGTGTAAGTCAGTTTTAGTCATAAACAAGTTATGGGACACAAAGAATTCAGGATTTACACTTTTCCTGCCAGAATTCAATAGGTGTGTGTGTGTGTTTTCATGTGCGTGCCGTTATTAATCAGACTTTTTTTTATACAGTGTATGGCAAATACCTTACTGAAGGTCTGAGAAAAGACTATTCTTCTCCATGCACATTAGCTACTAAACCTATTTTGCACTCTGCATTTGGTACTACTAATCATATCGCACAGATCGACATATCCATAATAACATTCACACAAACAGACTGTTGTAATAATGTCAAGAAGTCTGCACGTGAAGTTGCTAAATAAACATTTATCAAGAGATTGTACTAGCTTCTATCACCACATATTTTAAATTGAGAGGTTCTCTCTCCTCTTTTAATACTAGCATAAAACAAAAGGAAAATGAGCTCCAGAACACTGCTAGAGCAACATTAGGACTCTGACAAGCTGGAACTTCTTTGCAGCTTGGGGCTTAAAACTAACACCCATTCTGACAGCATATACTTAATACTTCCTATTGTCTCTTGTGGACACACAGTACTTACCTTTGCACATCCCACTAAGGAACATAAAGAACCTTACATTTTATAATCTCATTTTTCTTTTGTTTGAAAAACACTCATGACAAAACAAGCAAATATAAACAGCAGCACTGTCTTCATAGATTAATGTAACTATACAACAGGAGCACTTCCTTCCTCTTCCTAACAATAACAGCCTTACAAACAGCTATTTCACAGTAGAAAAAGAAAAGTCAGACTGTGCTAGCCTGGCAAGGTTGCTTACCCAGGGCATTCCAGGGATTAATAAACCCACAGGAGAATATCCTCCTTTACGTTGTGCTGGGTAAGGAACTGCCTACCAAACTGTTTAAGAAAATTTAGCAAGGAGGTGCTGAAAGGTGCTGGTTTGACAGCCTTGGAGACTGAAGTCCTGTATTTAACCACAAAACAGGTATAACAACTTCTGGTGACAAGTTTGCCCATGCTTAATAACTTGATATGAAAAGTATTCCAGTGAGAAGTTCTGTATCCATCACCTTGCCCATGCTAACAAAATTCAGGGTCATAATTCACCACTAGTAAACAACCACGTAGTCAAAAAGTGCCAGTGTCCTGGCAACGCTAAGTGGCGATTTACAAGTCTTGAGTTTTGCTCGGGCAGATGCATGTCCCACCCATTAAGGAAGGTGACTACTAGTGCCCGTTATGGTGATGCTCGTGTAGAGTGGACGCTTGGGCATTACAAACCGTATCCAGACCACCCCCCTGGGCAGGCCCGTGATGCACCCCACCAGGCAGAAGGCCTGCCCACCTACTGACTGACTGCGAGCGCAAGAGTTTGTTGGCGCACAGCCCCGGGGGTGCACACTTGGAGACTGACCGCAGGACATTTTCCCAGCGGGGGAACCGGCTGCCTGAGGCAGAGCCGGGCTGGGTCTGACGGGGGGCTCGTTTGCTGGCAGCACTTTAGTCTCTAGCGGTTCCCCGTCCTCCCTGAGCCGGAGGCAGGGCACAGCCCGGACCCCGGGGAGCAGCGTGCCCGGGAACAGAGAAGCAGTACGAGGCACTGCAGGAGGCGGTAGGCCCAGTGCCCGAAGCCGGTTCTTACCATACACCAGCTTTTTCATCTCGTGGTATCTGGCCCATAGGTAGGACTTAGTGTCGGCGCCCTCGGCAGGGCTAGGCTGGCTGCTCAGGGGGCCGGCTGCGGCCGGGCTGGACTCCGCGGCTCTCCGGGCTCTGCCGGGGACTGCCGGGGGTGGGAATTGCCCCGCAGACTGGTGCTGAGCCCTTTGCTGGCCCCAGCCCGCCCGCCTGCCCTCGCCAGGGCCGCTGCTGGCGGCGGAGCTGCAGCTCTGGCAGAAGACGGCGGCGGCCAGCTGCAAGCCAGCCCCGTTACCCTTCCACAAGCCGCTGCCCGCAGCCTTGAAGCCGACGGCGGCCATGAACTCCCCGCGGCTCCCTGGCTGGCGCGGAACTTAATGCGAGTCCGAAGAACCGCAGCCCTCTGGAAAGGGTCTGAAGCTCTACGCGCGCTCCCATGCACCGCCGCCCGCTCCGGCTACCCTGCAAACCGAGCGCCCAGCCAGCCGCCTGCTGCTCGGGGACCGCGGCAACTAACTCCGCGCTGCCAGCCAATGAGCAGCCGAGCGAGGCGGGCCAAGCAGCCAATCCTGGATTCTGCAGAGGAGCCAGCGTCCGGTGGCTGCAGGGGCGGTCTCTACAGACCAGCAAGCCCCGTCTACACAGCCGCCACGTGTGGGCCCCGGGGCTGCGCGGCGGCACGGAACTTGTAGTTCTCCCCACTGTTTCACTAGGGACCTGGTCAGGCAACCGACGCGCCAAGTACTACAGCTCCCATGAAGCATTTCGCCCATATAGCTGGAGGGTATTTAAATGTTGTTTATTGCAGCTCTGCGGTAGCGATACTCAGGGTTCTGCGTGTTTGGGGTTTTTTGGTGTGCGTGGCAGCGTGGGGGGAAGGGGATGTGACTTCCGTTCTTCTGAGTTACTATTTAAAGGAAGAAATGGGAGCGTCCAGTAGCCTGAGTTATTTCCAACTGGACTGACCACAGAAGAAAGCAGTAAAGAGAATAATTCTGCCCTTACAGGGAAGATGGAGTAGATGCATACCATCTTCTCCATATTCAGTTTCTATGGCCTTATCTACATTAGGGAACTTAAGAGAAAAGCCCATTAGTGCTACCACCAGTTCAGCTGTACTGCTGGGAGCTCTATTGTAGACAGGTTTCAGAGTAGCAGCCCTGTTAGTCTGTAGCTGCAAAAAGAACAGGAGTACTTGTGGCACCTTAGAGATTAACAAATTTATTAGAGCATAAGCTTTTGTGGGCTACAGCCCACTTCTTCGGATGCATACAATATTCCATCCTCTTCATGCATTGTTACAAGTCAGAAGATTTGAAAGCTGTGTAAAAAAATAAAAATGAGAAGAAAAAAAACCCACCCTGGAAGCTGTTGGAGCCTTAGTACTTGTGGCACCTTAGAGACTAACAAATTTATTTCAGCATAAGCTTCGTGCTGTAGCCCACGAAAGCTTATGCTGAAATAAATCTGTTAGTCTCTAAGGCCTGGTCCCCACTAAGCCCCCACTTCGGACTAAGGTACGCAAATTCAGCTACGTTAATAACGTAGCTGAATTCGAAGTACCTTAGTCCGAACTTACCGCAGGTCCAGACGCGGCAGGAAGGCTCCCCCGTCGATGCCGCGTACTCCTCTCGGCGAGCTGGAGTACCGGCGTCGACGGCGAGCACTTCCGGGATCGATCCGGGATCGATTGCTTACCGCCGGACCCTCCGGTAAGTGAAGACGTATCCTAAGGTGCCACAAGTACTCCTGTTCTTTTTGCGGATACAGAGTAACACGGCTGTTACTTTGAAACCTGTTGGAGCATTGTGTACACTAGAACTCCACGGGTGCTATTATAGATGCAGCCAAAACAATTTTTGAAGGGAAGGGTTTTTTTCTTCAATTCCATGGCCTATGAGTAAGGCTAAGAATTTAGTCATGGGCATTTTTAGTATAAATCATGGACAGGTCACAGTCAAACAAAAATTCAGGGCCCAGTGACCTGTCCATGACTTGTACTATATACCCCTGACTACATTTTTGGTATTCTGGGGAGCTCCGGGGGTGCAGCTGCTGCTCTGGAGGGGGGACTCCGGGGCATCCGCTGGTGCTCATAGATGGGGTGTGTGTGGCCAGGGACTGTTGCTGCTGCTGCTAGTGGGGGACAACCCCGCCAGCCTGGGACCACCGCCACTGTTGCTTGGTTGGCCCTGAGATCAGACGCACCTGCCGGCTGCAGAAGTCACGGAGGTCCCGAAAAATCACGGAATGACTTCCGTGACCTCCATGACAGACTCTCTAAGGTGCCACAAGTACTCCTAGCCTTACCTATAAGTCTTGCAACAACTGATCATTACACACCTCATACACACATTGAACACTGTCCCAGGGCATTTTGATCAGGTTATTTTGGTTTACATGATGAGATAAAAACATGGAATGATGGTATATTTAGTAGGCTGCCAATTAGCCACACTTCTTAAAAGCATTAAACTGCATTTTAATTAAAATAAAATAAGTTAATCCTTGCCCTCTATAATACAGTTAGAAGTATTTAAATCAATCCTGTCTTGCAAGCAGTTATGTCTCCTTTTGGAATTAAGTAAAATTAAGTTCTTCCCATATAATTATATACTTAAGCACAGATAATATACTCAGCCCTGGACAGAAAAAAAATTGAGGACAGTCCCTTCCTGCCAGACCAGCACAAGACCAAAATAAATGGTGGAAACTGGTGGATACCCTTATACACCTCAGGGTTCAACCGGATAAAGAAAGATCCTGCAAGTCAACATGCTGTTTCTGTCTCTTGTAAATCTTTTCTTAAACCCTTTGGGACTGAAAAAAAATGCCTAAACTGAAAAATATTAGACAAACACCCACTTTTTACTACACCCTTGACATAGTCCAGTTGTGCACTCAAGCTTTTAACACTGGACCATAATATACTGCACATATTTGGTCCAAGTACAGTGTTATGTTAATTTATTATCATGGGGCTGGATTATGTATGCTATTTTTGCAGAACAGGGATTGTAGAAGTGCCCTGCTAAGTAAGTACCAGATCTAGATGCCCGTGTGCAAACAGAACTCCATGTATCAGTTCTGAAGATTTCTAAAATGGGAAGTACTGTAGAGGCAGACCACTGATGCCACTTTAGCCCTGGCAGAATAAGACCAATGACCCTAGCTATTGTCATCCTAGCTAAGGCATAACAGGACTCAATTCATAATCTACTCAATTTACACGGGCACTGAATGAAAATGGCATTCCCTTTACACAGATCTCCAAAAGCTACAAAAAATCTTCTGACTTCTTAATGGTCTTACTTCTATCCATGTAGATTGAAACTCAAAGCCCTCTTGACATACAGGGCATGGAGCTCAGGAAGCAGAGTATATCCCAAAAGTGAGAATACAGACAGGCCACCTTGAAGAAAAAAATGTGCCTGTCCCAAAACCAATTTTTTTTTTAGCTTCTATGATGGGGTTACTGCTTTTAAAACAACCTAATGTTGGGATAGAGGGAAGGTTGCTGGGTTTTGTGTATCTCATTCTTCTACCTCAAGGATAAGTTGCTGCTTAAAAGCTCAAAAACCTCAGTGCACTAACTAGATCATCTGAAAATGAAAACTGGCCTCTTGCCTCAGTTTCCTTGTGAAATCTAGCCAAATGCAATTGCACCTTCCACTGCACATGGAAGGATGAACTTTCTCTGAAATGCAGTGCCAGTGGCCAAGCAGAGCCACAAAAGACATTTAAACATGAGATGGATACCTCATTAACCTTTTCTGTTGTTTGATGGGGTTTACAGCAGCGGAAAGCCAGCTTTCAATATTAGAGTCTTGTTCAGATGTGCTTGGAGTTTTTTCTGTAGAGTTAGTAGCTTGGAGCAGGTGTACTACAGAAAGTAAACTAGTTACTTTCAAAACAAAATATTTTATTGGTATCCCCAAAATGGGAGAAAGGAGCAGAGCCATCAGCTCTATATCAGAGGTAAACACATACTCCTGCTCAGGATAGGATTTCAGGTTTAACATTCTGTGCCCATTTGTCATTGTGCATCACTGATCCATTGGCAAGCTGCTTCACTGCACAGTACTATCTCTTAGGGTTAATTCAGTTTCACTTATCCAGGCTGACATTTGGGGGTTCCTCAGTCTAGGGGAAAGTATGTGTAAATTTGCTTATTTGAAGGTACCATTTGACTAGATTCCTCAGCTTGGGTGTCACACCTCCCTGTGAAGCCATGCAGTCAACTCTTCTCTCACGACAGCCTTGAAATCACAGGAGGGGGTTGATAGTAACCAACAATCATCAAATTAGGCCTGAATAAAAACTGGGAGTGGATGGGTCATACACAAACAAAAAACTATTTCCCCATGCTAATTTCCCCCTCTACTGTTACTCACACCTTCTTGTCAACTGTTTGAAATGGGCCATCCTGATTACCACTATAAAAGTGATTTTTCCTCCTGCTGATAATAGCCCACTTTAATTGATTTGTCTCGTTAGAGTTGGTAAAGCAACCCCCATCTTTTCATGTTCTCTGTGTGTATATATATATTCCTACTGTATTTTCCACTCCATGCATCTGATGAAGTGAGTTTTAGCTTCATGCCCAAATCAATTTGTTAGTCTCTAAAGTGCCACAAGTACTCCTGGTTCTTTTTCCTGGTCTGTTACACAGATAAGTACACAGAAAGTTACTCAGAGAGTGAGAGGCATTAGCAAGTGGGAAAAACCCTGGCCTAGGGCCCCTGACCACAAAGAATGCTAGCAAGGGGGCAATACCCTCTCTTAGGACCCACACCCTGGCCCCAAGCCTGAGAGCCTTTGGCAAGGGACTAACACCCCAGCCCAAGGCGTAGCACCCAGGCCCCTTGCCTGAGATCCATCGCCAAGAGACCAACACGGTAGCCCAAGGCAGGGCCAGTGCAAGGATATTTTGCGCCCTAGGCGAAACTTCCACCTTGCGCCCCCCACCCCCTCCCAGCATCGCTTATTAAAAACTTTCAAAAATGAATGCTGCATAATGTGGCATTGTTCATTAGAATTAATACACGTTCGGCTTGAAAAATTATTAATTTAATTATTTAGTCTACATATTTAATGAAAATAAATGAATAACCTGACAGTGTTGACATTGTTATTGTTTTCACTTTGCACAACATAACATGGATCTTAAAATAAATCACATATATTATACACAATACACTGTCACAGAGTAACATGTTATAATTTAGAATTTATTTTTCCGCGCTTTCAGTTTAGCAAATTTAGAAACAAGTTCCTCCAAGTCAATGCTGCAAGCAATGTCATGTTCTATTGACAAGGTAGATAGCCCAACAGGTCTTTGTTGCAACATTGATTTTCGCATATATGTTTTTATCAACTTGAGCTTCGAGAAGCTTTGCTCACCACTGGCCACAGAAACTGGGAGAGACAAGAGGATGCGAAGAGCAATAACTGTGTTGGGGATACTATCTGTCAGTTTATTTGTGCATCTGAAGTTCAATACATCTTGCGGTGATGCACTCTTTTGGACTCGTCGTGCAATAGCTT